AATAAATGTGGTGGACGATTGAAGTAAGTTCTAGGGACAACAATATATTCAGACGGATTATTTCAACAGGATAACTTTACATTTATACCTGATATAAAAAAATAAAGTATTTGGCAAATGAAGACTTTTTGGCTTTTTTTGTTCTCTTCTTCAGGCTCCTGCGAATTGGACGAATCTTCGGAGCATGGCACCAAATACAATGCTTCAAGGTTTATATTCTCTGACGGGCCAATCATTCTCAAGAGAGTGCCTCGTTCGAGTCCCTTATCAGGACAAATTTGTTTGCTTGGCGCTTGCCTGCAACTTGACACTCAGATGATAAAGAAGGGTTTCTTGGTAAGTTGTAAAATATATTCAAGTTAAAGAATTTGTTTTATTTTTTGACCTTGTTTAAGCAACTTGGTCATATTGGCAGAAGGACCTAGAGCAACGCACCTTATCCGGAGTCCATAGTATGCATGATAATTTTCAGTCTAACCGTGGATTAGCATGCAAACTGTGGAGTACGGGCAATGTGCGTTTCTCTAGGTCTTCCTGCTAATATGACCAAGTTGCGAAAGCAAGGTCAAACAACTTCTATACAACGAAAGGAGACCACGACCATACAAAAGGCAACACCATCTTTGTCTTCATATCTCGTTTTATTTTGTTGCCAACTCCTTACCCTAAAGAAATGCTAATAGAATTATTATTTACAGAAAATTTAATTTGTGTATATATAAACATATATACATATATGTTTCACTAATTGTGTATAATAATATAATAATAATATAAATAACGGTATTGAGGATTGTAAATATATATGAACTTATATATTAATATTATTTGTACATTTATCCTAGTATTATATTAAATTTCGTTTAATTGAAATTATATCTATATAATTATAAATCTACTAATTAATTAAGATGATAATGTAGATTAATAATAACAATACTAAATTTATAAGTAACCAATTTATTTATATCTGATGAATTACTATTATTTAGCTATAATATTAATTAATTAGTAATGTAATTGTATTACTAATTAGATTATTTAATATTACTATATGTAATATTCGTATTTAATAAACAGAAAAATATTAATAGCTTAAATATTTATATATCGATATAAATATATATATATACACATTAATGTATTTAAAATTAGTATTATACTTAATAATATATATTGATAGAAAAAACATAATATAATTAGTAATAATTATAATAATGTATAGGTATATTTTTATATTATTATTATATTATTTATTATTAGCTAATGATTAATAGTAATAATATAATGCTAATATAGTATATAAAGTTAGTGTTGAATATAACTTGGATTCAAGGAATTTAACGCTTGAAATTCCTATCTGCATTCGTCGCAATGTGGCGTATTGGTTAACGTGTAGAGCTAATGCGCTGGACTGTCCTAATCCGAGTCCCGCTGGAGGTGTGATACGACCTAAGCGAGAATAAAACTGCAATCCACTTCAGCCTGGATGATAATACCTTTTGGGAAGCATGGCTATGTTTAATTCAATGGAAACTTAAGGCCTTCTCATATCATTTTGGGAAAATTCAATTACTAGTTCTTCATCCTTTTAAACGATGTAAGGCGACCACACATCTTGATGGAATATTGTTGGCATTGCCTGCAAATAGATAGGGTGTTTTCTTTTCTTGACCAGTTAGCTTGAATTTGGTTGTAAGAATGATACCCTGCTCTAATGATGTCCATCATACGACGAACGTAAGCTTAACATGTTTTCACCAGAATCGAATGAGATTATCTCGGAAAAGGCGTCACCATGACTGTTCCAGTAAAGCCAATCGACAGCTGGTCAGGAGGACTCCGCCGTCGTCTTCTGGTGGACTCGACTTTCGAAGCTTTTCTCCAAACACTTTCACTCTAAATGTAAGTAAGCTCAATTAGATTCATCTAAACCCAATTTGAATAGGAAAGGACCTAACTGGTCAGCTTAACGGTGCTTCTAATAATACCAAATTTCGCTCCACATATCTATTATGTTTATGATTCCAACCAGACTTACATTCGATATTACGTACTCCCAGTCGTGCCTCTCTTTTGCATAATTGAATATCGATAACTCTGTTCTAATAGTGCGCTCTGATGCAATAACTCTGAATTATGGCTGATGTTTTGCTATTCAGATTTAGACATATACACACCCACAAACATTAAAGCATACAAGTACCTAGATTTACATGACAAGGAACTAATCAATTTATTCACCGTATTTATTTTTTCAGTTATTTTTTATTTTTATTTGTGCGTATTTATTGTATGTAAGATAGAATTGATTAGTATTCTTGACCTAAAGCTCGCTTGAAGCCTTTATAAGAGTCAGTTCCCGCTCTGACGCCATCTGTCAACTGGCGTGATAGACAATAGCTCAGCTGGGAACCGAAAAAGTATGCCTCGTGGATTGCGTTAACTTGAACGTTATATTAAAAAGAAACAGATTCAGAGCTGGCAATTTAACATGAAATTATTATACACTGCTGAAAACTCGTTTGGCCGACTTTATTAGCCTTCTAGGCACAAGTGGAAAGTGTGACCGATCAGCATATAGCAGTTTGTGAGGGTCAATCCCATCCATGTTGCCCAATGTTTCATTTTATGAGACTATGAAAAGTAATTTATAACCGGACTTCGGTTGTACTTATTGCCTGACACTTTTCCGCGATTCTTCTCCGTCTACCTCATCTTCTGCCAACTCTATGCCTAAACGAATGGAGTCAGCTGATACTGGAGGATGCTGATGACGAGGTCTTTTGGCAACGTTATTGGTGTGAGCTGTACCCTGACCGATTGCATTGCTGGCCATGGCCTCTCTTAAATTCGGCCTGGCCAGCTTTTGTCGAGGGCGATGAGGCTAAGGGAGACGATGAGACAACCGACCAGACCTGGCATCGTTTGTCGGGCGTCAATCCAGGCCTAGGTTGTGGTGCCAACCCAAAGACGAGTTGCAGATCGGCCAGAACCCTCTTGACTTGTCCTTGCGCGTCGTGCTCCTCGTGCGTCTCCCTCAGTTCTTCCACATCCTTGTCAATGATCTCGAACTCCTCGGGCTCTGATCAGCCTGATCAAACGGGCCACAGCCTGATGCTGAAGACGCCTGGGGGCGGCAAATGCCAAGCCGTCACCCCCCTCAGCAAGGCTGTCGTCAGGGACAAGGCAGCCGAAAATGGTCGCTCTGGCGTTGATCTTCTTTGGCCACCCGCCAACTCGAGCAATGCATACAGGTTCGGGCTCACGACGGCAGAGCAGTTCGGCCCTCCGGAGAAATCAATCGATTTGCGTCGAATTTCTTCATCCGGTGTGATGCTATTCGGCCTGAAAGGGGATCTCCATGACCACTCGTATCGGCTGGTTGGAACGGACCTCGTTGCCGCCAAGTTGGCTGCCTCCGAGATCGGGGCCGTGCTGATCTGTTTGCAGGCCTGCGGAAGAGTAAGCCGTCTGCGTAAAGGAGAGGAAAGATCTGGTGGATGCAGGGACCGGCCGATAGCACCAGGGGACAGAGTCAGGCAGATTTCGCCAGCCGGCAAAGATCGATCCGAGGAGAGGTGGGACTTTCTCCTATTTGGAACCCTAATCTGTACCATTTTGCACCCCTTAACACCTGCACCAAGTTGTCACCTTTCCTTCAGTAGTAACTTTAAGTGTGAAATTCAGACATATCTTTCATTTTGCTTGAAAAGGCAGGTGGAAGGGATTCGTAAATTGGCCTAACTGGATAGCGAAAAAGGAGGGTTTCCATGGACTTATGACTGTTGGATTGTACCAAGAAAACCTCTGCTCACCACTTTGCATCCCAAATGAATCTGTGCTGAGTCTTCATCCGTCATGTGACGGACATTGTCATGGCCAAAAACCATTATTTACGAACAATTACGGAAAAACACAAAACCAATAACGGTGAGAAGCAAAGATTATACCTACTTCTTATACCTCACTTTGCGATCTTAATGAAGCATTCCATGATTTGGTTGGCTGACGTATGTCTGTCCTACATGCATGTAAGAGAGTGAAAGTGATGCAGGAAGGGAAACGGATGTGGTCACAACTTTCGACAATGTAACTAAACTAGCGTATGATCCTGTAATTCTGGATCTTGCTTTAGCTTCGTGCATGCGTGTTCATTTTGTATGCAATACTCACGAGTTACTTGACAACATTTTGCTGGATATGCGGAATTCACAACTAAGCGGAAGATCCTGGAGTTGATTGAAATTAACAAAACAGATAGCATTCTGAATAACATATATATATTCTCAACAAAACTTTTACATGGCATTTGGAAGCATAACCGGCCTTCCGCCAAGTGATGTTGTTGTTTGCGTTAGCAGCATGACATATAAATTGTTCGGGTATCTACCTCAGCTTTACTCTTAAGGTCATACATGATAATCAAACAGCTCTTCTTGATTTCCTCCGATTTCCCACATGATGTTTTGCTGAAGTGTTCATTCCGATAACACAAGGTATTCGTGGCAGTATCTTCATTAAGCAAATTTTTCCCGTAAGAATAGAAGCTTGGATGGGTTAACAGATCGTTTGAACGAACTGATCAATGAAAAAATATATATTTGATCATGAAGCACTTCTTTCTAAAACAATTTCAATAGCCGATGGCTACATTAAAAACCTCACAGATAAATATAGCCAAATGTTCAAGGGATAAGTCGTGAAGCATGTAAACAATCGGATCTATAATGCACTTTCTATTAAAGTAAAACTGTTATTTTTATAACATAAATCCAGAATTCCAGCATATAGTATGAGCGCACTGCCTTATTACGCCCACTTTGATACCATTTATCACGTCACATTCAACAGTAATTACAGTTACGGCAGCGTAAAAAGGAGAGACTTGTTTGAGATGCTATCTAGAAGTTATTGAATGAATTAGAATAAGTGCAATCGCACAGAATTACAATGAGACAATCCATCAGTTATACGATCACGAAGCGCATACTTTTGGTTACAAATAAGGGCACCAAATGGCGTCAAACTTGTCCCTCATTTCTCCATTCCCCATTTTCTTGCCCATCCGTCTTTTCGCAGTGGACATGTTTCTAAAATATCGTACTTTATTGTGGCTACTCCATCTATCAGTCTTACATCAACTTAAGCAGCATGTCTCATTTTATTACCCAAGATTTTGTAATTATGTATATATAGTCCATGATTTCCATAGCAAATAAAGGTTTGACTTATCCACACCCATCCAACGACAAATGTGAACTAATGAATTATTACTTGACTCGAAATTTTGCCCTGTAACCCACTGGCACCCTTTTGATTTGGTCTTTTGTTTCATAATACCGTATCCATTCTTTATAAAGATTATTTTGGGAAATATGTTTAACATTATACTAATATTTCAGGGCGATTATGAAAGTTTTTCTGTATGAAAATGACAAATTAATTCCTCTTTGGCTTCTTTACTCGCAAGAATGGTGGAGCTGAATGGTTTAAATACTAAGGCAGCCAGCCGAAAACGTGGTCCAAAGAAGCTATAGTCGATCTTAGCTATATTTTATACTTTCCGCAAAGGATTTTTAAGGGATTTGAAAGAGGTCAAAAGTTCGTTAGCAATAAATCATATTCAAAATTAGAGGTCGCTTACGCAACAGTTTCGTCTGTCTGTATGCAAGTGATTTTGGAAGAAATATATATAATTCATTTAACAAGCTTCCTCCGCCAAGCTGGAGTGTTTTCGGATGGTGCGACGATTGATGTGATTTTCATAAATATATTTTTAATTTGGTGATCCTTTGAATTTTCAGGCCTTTACCCATCTCTGCCTTATTTTCCTTGTGATCAGAATATACTTTAAATGTCAAAATCCCGACGAGACCAATAGTTGGTTCATCCAGTTCACTCGATGTGTCGGACTCTTGAGTAGCTGGTTACCGAACGATCAGGCCAACCGATTACGGCTAGATCATCCAGACGGGGTTTGGCCTCAAAGTCGCCAATTCAACGAGCTGGTAACCGATGGTCTTATCAGTGCATCGGTAAGGCATTAACTATAGACAATGATGTCTAGCCGAAATTCGGTAATATTTGTATATATCTTTGAAATAACCGGTCGTGTTTATCCAATAAAGCAGGATTAAAAGCTCAATTCATCGTATGATTTTATTGGAACTACATTTAGAAAAGTACGAAAGTATCCCCATTTATTTCGAACTGTTTAAATCACATTTGGCCGGACCATCGCATACATATTCTCCAGGTAGGGGCAGATTCTATTCATCTTCTTGACAAACGGATCCAGACCAA